CCGACAAGGAGTAATAAACGTGCTAGTAAATTTTCATTAGATATACATTATCTAAAATGTTCTGATCACAATAAAGAAAAAAAAACATCCAGACTGCGCAATGTTAAAATCTGTCGATATGAAACGCAGTATGATGCTAAAACAACGAAACACTTTCAAGAAAAACATTGTCACATCAAACATAAATGTACCAAAAGTTGTTAACTCAGATCATGGATTTGGTGAATACAAATTCAAGATATTGTCTACGTGATTTTCTTTTCATTAAAACTGCGACATAAAATAATTGATTTTACGTATTTAGTAATGCCAGAAGTTTTGTCGCACCATTATAATACCACGAGAGTCGATGTTTTACTATATGATGAACAATATGCAAAATATCCTGATCACAGAAAAAAAATCTGTATAATGTTCGTTTACATTGTTAAATCTACTAATCTGAAACGCAGTTTGATGCAAAAAACAACACAGCACTAAAAACCAACACATGTTGCATCAGGTATACACGTACCAACGGCTTTACCTCAGACCATGTAAAAGATTTGAATAAATTTTTGTGTAATCATAATTATGATTATTTCCAGATAAAAGTTTTAAGCCTTGTTTGCCGGTTAACTTTTCATTTACAACTACTTTCTTACAGTGAATCCCAAAAGATTCATACTTGTATACAGATAAGAAGCTTAATTTGACTCAGTTCTATACCAAGAATCCTTTTTTAAACATTATGGACCCGTTCAGTCTAGAACACAGTGCTAGAACCCAAACCAAGCGTGTCTAATTGGCTACAATGTACATCTGGAACTGAATAGCCTAAGATTTTATTTAAAATAGAAAGGATAATTCAGCAGTGCCTATTTCTAGTTTGTTTAAGTAGTTTGTTTACTAACTAAAAGAATTTGGATCAGTAGTATTTGCTTGATAAGCAATTTTAAATGTCTTTCATTAATATGTGTTTACAACTAAAAATACATTTTCAGCAAAATCCTTCTCTCTTTTGATAATTTTGTTCTTCGGCTTGGCCAAGATCAGGTGCCCATTTGCACATGAATGATATTATATATACGTAACTCTTTAAAATTAATCTAAATTTCTAGTTGCATTGCAAAAAGGAGATTGAGAGCTTTCCATTGGTATATTATATTACATATATACTACCTGCATCTTTGAAAAAATAACAAAATAGAGTCTCAAGTTCATATTTTTTGAAGTTATGCTGTTGCACTTGATTTTTTACATTTTAAAAAAATGGTTAAAATTATTTTAAATGAAACATTCCAAAATAGATATAGTTTGTTGTGGAGAAATCATTCTGATTAAGTTTATTTTTTACAGAAATGAAAATGGATAAAATTGTGGAAATTATGAATAAATGTGTGCAGATATACATTTGTTATATAATCTAAGATTTATCAATGTTTGAATAAATTCATAATAATATCAAAATACCAATTACATGTAGTTCTGACATGTATTATTTTGTTCTGACAATTCATATTTTACTCGTATTGGGAATTTAAATTAAGTTTTAGTTAATTTTATTAAATTTCACAGGATTTTTGTATAAATTGATTTTAAATATTCAACGGATAGGATCTTTGAAACACATGTTAACTCCAAAATGATAATTTTTACAAATATTTACTGATACAAGCAACTATTTTTTCTATGATCACTCCTAAAATGAAAAATACTCTGTGTATAGTCCGTAGTCCCGGGTCTCAAAATAGTCAATAAAAATCCCTGACATAGTTTTTCTTTGAGTATTATCAAATAAGTTTGAAATTCTCATTCCCATATAATTTTTCTTTAGAAAAAATGAAAGTACTTCAATTCATTTTTTCTTCAAATGTCCAAATATCAAGTGTAGAAAAAAACACTCAAAGATTAACAGATTAACCCATGTCCTTTATATATACTGTAATATCTTTAATGGAAATGATTTACTATATTACTATATTATGTGATTTTTTTTGTTTTTGCTCAAACAATATTTTTTGAAGAGTTGTATTCGATTTATAAATTTTTATTCAGTTGAATGTGATAAAAATAAATGTTATGCTTGAATGTGTATAGTCCGTAGCCTACTTGGGTCTCTGTTATAGTAAGAGTGAAATCTTTTAAACCGCTTGACAGAAATGGACAGAAATTTCAGAAAATCTGCCAAAAGGATGTAGTGTTACATAGAACATACTTGAAGTAATATTCATTTAACTTCATTTTTTGGTTAATCTGCAACCAACATGGGCACCTGATCTCGGCCAAGCCGTCTTACATTTTTGTTTTTTAAGATCGTAAAAGACCCTCTGGAATTAAAAAAAATCATTCTTCAATCTTATCTTTGAAAGTACATTTGCATATGTCTTCAAGAAATTACTTTTTATCGGTTCATATAAAGTCTATATTTTTTTGAGGTACAATATTATGCAATCAAATAGATTGATTGATTGATTGTATATTGTTAAACGTCCATCTCTCGAATTTTTCACTCATATAGAGACGTCACCATATGCCGGTGAAGGGTTTCAAATTTAGACCTATACTCGACACTTAGGGCCATTGAGCAGTGAAATTATTAAGAGAAAACGCACACATATATACGGGACCTAAAGTTTTTATGGACATATCCAAAAGCCGTGACTTTCACTTCTAGTGCCGAGCGCTTGGCGAAGGAACAGTCACCACCTATGTTTACGTCTTAGGTATGACGCGGCGCCGCGAACGAGAATCGAACCCGGGCCTCCCAATCACGATGCGAACGCTCTACCAGCAATCAAATAGAAAAATTAGTATATTTTCTATGAAAACATATAAAATGCTTAAAAATATAAATCCTCAAAGTTAAAAAAAAAGTATAGAACGTATGTAGTTTTCCGAAGTAAAAATATTCGCACAAATCATAAAGGAAACAAAAAAGCAAATAATCTAAATTTCAATCAGAGGCTCCATCAATTAAAATTTTATTAGCAAAGTCATCATTTGTTCATCAACAGCATATTATTTGTTTCAAAAAACCAAAAATAGTAAATGATCTATAAAAATGATCCCACTCAAAGACGACCGACTCTCATCTAAGCCCACCAGCTCTTAAATCATTGCATAATATTTTGTATGTTTTGCAGGTAAGATTCATCTTACGGTGTATAGGTCCTTTAAGGACGTTTACCTTGCAAACCGTGACTGATATGTTATGTAAATAAAGAGCAGGTCAAATGTATCTTGTCATGTTGTTAATTAATTAATATTTGATGATTTTCTTCTTCCTCTTAATTAACAGCTGTTGCAGGGAAATTAAGAGGGGGGAAAGGTTGTAGTCACGATGAGGGCGAATATAGAATAAGGAAAATTGAAAGCACTTTTTTGATGAAGTTGGGCAGGAAATTGCTAAAAAGAGCTAAAAAAAGGGTCAAATGCATATGAAAACGGGGAGAAACATAAATTGCCATTTAATCTAAGCAGCAAAATAAGAAAAAGGAAGAGCTTGATACAACATCTGTATATTGGTGTTCCCCACTGGTGATCTTAAAATTTTGAAAAAAAAGTATCCTTAACCTTTCAACCAAAAACAATATTCTGTCATTGTACACTATAATACTAACAAAGGAAATGACATGTTTGCAAAAACAACGGGTACCAAAGGTAACTAAAGTATAAAAAGGAGCCCATTAATAAGACTAGACATTAGTATTATAAAGTGAGTTTAAAATGGAGCTCAGTAGAAAGACTGACAGGTATTATAAAGTGAGTTCGCACCAAATCAATGTCTTGTCACACAACCACATAAAAGTCTTCAATCAAAAACATACATGATCTTTTGACATTTATACTCATGAAGTCAAGATTATTTGGACAAATCTACTATAATTTACAGATTATTATTTAAAAGCAATTAAGTCATTTTGAACTTGATCCAAGAAAACAATCCATCATCAACACTCATCCTTTCGTGCTTTTCTGTGAGAGTGGTGCCGGTGAATAAGAGTTTCTGTATTACCCCATGTTTGTATATTACCGATGATAATTCCATGGTACTAGGTGGATATGGGATTTTTAATTCAGACTAATCTAGTCATTTTGGCGTCTCATAAGCATATGATATATTAACTGCACTGTTAAAATTAAATAACAGGTAAATTAAAATTAAAACTATTCTTTTAATTTTACTTCTAAATTAATTTTTGAAGGTAATATATGCATCAGCTATTTAATATTGTCTTTATTCATTACATTTACGATTAACCTTAAGTAATTTGTTGTTAGTTAGAAATCATGCAGAAGAATATTTAAAAATTTTCTGAAAATTTGAATTACACAAAAACCAGTTTATTGCACAAAAGGCGTTGTTAATAAGCCTAATAATCAAGTGAACTTGACGCTTCGAGCACTTGTTAATTTAGAATTTAAATGATTGCATAAACGCTGCAAAGTAGTTTGAACCACTCCAACCTGAATATATTTAGGTCAAGGAAGAAGTAATTGATTTTAGGAAAAAAGAAAATTTTCGAGGTTAATAAAATTTTGGATGATGGAAATCTTGTTCAAGGACTTCTATCAAATAAGTAATTTTTACGTCACTTTAAAGGATCCTATTTCTTTAATTGCAATTTATGTCACGTAATTTTAAAATGGTTTTTATAACAAAGATTAATGAAAACTCAAGATAAAATATCCTTCACCTAGCTCATTTATTAATTAAGCAATTACTTCATGAAGAACTCCTTTATTTCTTTTATCTATAACTTTGCATTGTTTTGATGATATACCTATTTTCAATGACCTATTATTTGGGAAAATGACCTTATTCTTGCAATTGTAGTAATTAACACATTATGAAGAGCTAGCACTTATTTGATCTATATTTTTTATACCATTAGCATGGTGACAGCATTCTCTTATTCTGTAATAATTCATTTGACATATGCTCATTAGACTAAATTTCACGCTCCAGTCCACCAGGAAATAAAGTGCTTACGTCACGTGCCTTCTGCTATAAAATGGCGACGTGACAAATCATGCACACACAACCTTACCGTAAAATCTGAGGAAAGAGTCAAAAACGATTCAAAGATGGTGTTGTCTGTTTCTAAATCTCTTCAGTGTACCGTGTTAGGAGATGGCTTTGTGGGAAAGTCTAGTTTAGTAGAACGATTTCTTGGAGGAGATTTCAATAACGAGTATGTAGCCACGTTACAGGATGATTACACTGCAAAATGCAAAGTCAACGGGGAGAACCTCTTCGTGAACATCACTGATATTGCTGGAGAGGTATGTTCAGGGTCTTTTAAAAATGTATTCTCTCTTCATGATTTATATTTTTGTTTTCATAATTTAGACAAAATGATTTATAAAGCAAGAAATTATAAGTTTTGTTTCTATTCTTTACAGCATGACGACCTGACATCCATGGAAACACCTGACGTTTTTGTCGTCTGCTTCAGTCTTGCGGACAAAGACTCCATGGAAAGTGTGCTCAACTTTTGGATTCCAAGAATCAAGCTCCAAGATAAAGAAACACCTATTGTTCTGATTGGCACCCAATCAGACAAGAGACGAGCAAACAGAAAAGAACACGTTTCTACTGATGAAGGCTTCACTTTGGCCACATCCATTGGTGCTGCTGCATATGTGGAGTGCTCAGCAAAAGACACCATGGGGGTAGATGTAGCCTTTTACAGCATCCTGCTGGCCAGTAACCAGTGCACCATGGGAAAACCAAGTCTCTTTAAACGCATTTATGATAGATGAAAAGCTGGACAGAAATTGGCGCTATGGTCCTTGAGCCATAGTTCGAATTCATAATAATCTGTGTTCAGATACATTTGCAGTGACGAATTCTCACGAGATGTTTCGTCACTCAGAATTCCAGGAGTCAAGCGTCCATTCTTCACGAGACAGACAGGCCTTCACGTTAATTGCTGTCAATCAGGACAAATAAGAAGGACATTAATTGTCTCCACATGCTAAATCAGGAAATATTACAACAGAATTAAGAATTTTAAGAGACTTAATAATTTCTTTTTCTTGAGACTTCCAACGTACAAAGAAGCCTTTGTATTTTGTACTGCTTGAATATAAATATTTAATATCACCGACGAATTCTTAAGATATATTACATGTATTTATGGTTATATTTAATCATATGAAGAATTGTATCAATAAAAAAAATTCCTATGTTTTTTTTTATCTTTTATTTCAATTATGAAAGGAGAAGAGCTGTACTTGCTGCGAGTAATTGATAAACATATACTGGCTTTAAGTCATTTTAGATATACTAAACAAAAATTTAAGAGTGAAGCAAAACATTTTTTTTCAATTGTTGAAACCCCTGAATCATTTCATGAATCACCAAATTAATGCAATTTAAAGAGGATCTGGCCTTTAAGCATTTGGTCTCTAAAAATATTAATGATATTGACAATAATTATTGTTTATCGGGTATATATTTTACAATTATATTAGGAAAAAAAGGTGTAGAGGAAATTTCATTGAATCCAAATTGTAGAAATATCACTTCATGGACTTTCTAAATTCTTTTAATATAATTATACATGTTCACATATAATTTTTTACTTAAAATACTAGTTAAAACTGTTTAAGACTAGTTTAGGATGAGTTCAGTCCTTCAACATTTCAAGGCTTATGTCAAATTCCTTTCTCAGCAGGACAGAATTTGAAAGTGGAAAAACAGTAAACACAGCGGAATAATCGCATAAGTAACTCACCGCCAAGGTTAAACGATCAGTGCGGTCTTCAAACTAAAATATACTTCTCAAATCCTCTGAGCTATTTTAAAGACAGATTTGCTGCAGACAAGAAATATATGATAACGAACCACAATGGTTTAACTAGTTTAACTGTGTACCCAAGTTTTTAACCCCTTTTCATCTTCGATCAAAACAACTTTACAATCCAAATGCAAAGTCATCTCGTTTTTCATAATAGGAAGGTAATTCACTGAAACGAAAAACAGGGTATCTGGGTCTGCTTATCACAACATCAAACATAATGAGGGCGGGTTTAATGTGGTAGGAGACTTTAAATTTGACACCTTTTATTAGGTTGTTATTAATACTATCTCTGTATACATACATTGTCTGTTGATGATGCTCCGTGTGTACTTCCTTGCCCTCATACTGCACTGACAATCATATACACGAAGTAGCATCACCTTTCCTCTGGTACTATTGATGAAGTTATATTTAGAAAACAAAGGTGTTCAAATAATTATTTAAGGAATATTTAAAAACGTTAATCATATACAATTCTCAATACATGTAAATATGCCCAAAAATCGATGACTGAAAATAAGATTTAATTTTCCCTTCAAAATTTTATGTATTTCATGCATTTTCTCGATGTAAAAGATTTTCTGATCTGTAAAATAATTAATTTTTCTAATATCTGATAATGAAAATGACGTTTTAATACAAATAATACAGATATATTTTCGTTTCAGAGATGGACACTTCACATTAGAGATAGCTTGAAGGAGAGGTAAAACAAAAATGTCATTTAGTACTATAAGATTCTGTTTTCCCATAAAAAAGATAGAGTCGTGTAAATACTAGTATGCAATAATTACATAATAGCAAAAATAAACAAACCATTCTCTCTTTAACCTATGTAAGAAACTATCAAAATACATTGCTGGATATGAATGTATATATGTGTATGTTTTAAGAGAATTTCAAGACGAATGAATTAAATTTTATTCATATGGTTTCGTGGTATTTAATTTTACCTATTACCTCAATGAAATTGATATAATTATTTAATTACAGAATTATTGTATATCGTTACTTATAAATGATCTCATCATCATTACCATCTGAATATCGTCAGCAATGTCAAAATCAGAGGTGGACATTTCGGGCTTCACTTCATGAGAGCTATATCCCCTTTTTTAATGCTGTTTATGTACTATATGAGTAATCCACACCTACATTTTGTCACAATAAGCCCACTTAATATCCTGTTTTTTAATTGTTTTTCTTTGTGTTTTATTCTATTTCTGTCAAAACCGTAACAACTAATTTTTTATTAACAAACAGTCGAAGAAAGTGGAGCCTTGTCTATTTTAGTTTTAATTAAGTTTTATATTAATAATGACACAGATTTCTTGGCGTAGTTGTTTGAAAGGTACATTGTCGACGATTGACCTCCAAGGTTAAAATGCAAAACATATTTTCAATGATACCGTTTGTCTCGGAACCATTAGTAATGATAATTTTTATAATTGCGTAAACAAATTTGTTTTTCTTTATTGTGTATATTCTTTGCAAAACGTTACCTTTTTCATCAAGTGCACATTTTAAGAATACGAAGATAACGAACAGTATTCGGACTTAAAAAGTCCATTCAAATAGTACGTATCAGGAGCAGAGCAAGCACGGACATCTAAAATATCAAAATAATAGGATCTGTTGCCATTATTAAGTGAGCAATTCTTGCCATCTGGTCACGCTCGCTATTTTTATGTAACTTAGCAATAATTCTATTCTTTAGCTACTAGCTGATTAAAAAACTGACACTTATATTTAGTACTTTCGCTTGCAAAACTCAGGGATTCTCAAAATACTAGAATTTATTTGTTTATGTAGACTTTTTACCCCCCCCCCCTCTCTTAGGAAAATGCTTGATTAATAATGCAATTATACAACTTTAATAAGGTTTTTAAAAAGTTTAATTGCAAATGCTAAATTGAGTTATTAAAAAAAAATCTGTCCATTTTTATGCTGTCTGCTGGTATTGTCAGTACCATTTTAACGCTGACATAATCATCTCGTCCAGACGTCTTTAGTTCTACTCACGCGTCACAGGTAACCAAACAGAATTCAACCCACACTAGAGGGTCTAAAGAGTCGAGACAAGCAGGCGGCAGTTTTGACATCTTTTTGCATGTATCATAAATGTATGCAAATTCGGTCAATTGTAAGTAATAAAAATTCATCATTTGTTAATTACACCTATTAATATACGAAGCACATGTAATACTGCATTTGCTTGCACACGATTTTGAAAAGCATTAAAATTTTAAAACCAGTAAAAATATTGTATTGTTAACTTTTATGACTTTGTTTCGTAAATGTCAAGAAACTGTTTTACACAATAGAGAGTCTTTTTTGCAATGCTTGATTTGTAACATAACAAATTAACAAAGAAAGGAAAGGCGAGTGCAAGCACACTCTGACATCAGTAAATCGAGGTGTATTTATAGGTAGAAGATAACATCAACATGTTGATTGTGTTGAAAGCGTTATTGCATGAAAATCTCTGATAAACATAAAAAAAATTATAACAAGTCTTTGGTTTGGAAAAGGTGTTAACGTATTTATTATGATAATAAGGAATGTATTGACACATTTTTTCACACTATCATTACGTAACCGTGATTTCGTCAAACGGGATGGAGATGTTGATGTTTATCATCTCGGTTAGGGAATGCTCTACTTTTAAATCTGTTAATTTATTCATTTAAATCCTTTTAATTCAAAAGAATTTAGAATCCGGGTGGCTATTTACATGTACTATCCAATGGAAATCGATCCATTCAAACTGTATATTCAGAGTAAAAGTTGTTTACCAATTTAATCATTTAAAATCCTACTTTTCATATACACCAAGAAAGCAACTCCTGACTCACGGCCTTCTAAATACACCAAAAGTGTTAATCCAAAAGGAATCCTTGATTGTGCCTTTAAATAGTATTTATTTACTTGAAGCGAACTTTTGCGATGTCAACAACGTGATATAGGACTAAAAGTTTTCCTAAGAGAGAGAGAGAGAGAGAGAGAGAGAGGGAGAGATCCCCTCCTCTGAGTTTGTAAGTGTTCTGATCCTATTAGATCCTCTCTGTGTGCCACTTAATGCTGAGATATGTATGGGTGAATCTTAGAGATTTTAGGGTCATATCTTGATCAAGTGCATGTTTTATAACACCATTCCCTTTGTTTGAATCTGGACCACCAAACACTTCAAAAACGTTAACCTTGAAAAAAAAATCTTAAAATTTAGCCTTTCAGGAGAACACTTTTGATATCTAAATATTGTTTTATGAGTGCATAATTTAAATACCTTAAGTAAAGAGTTTAAAGAAAAGAAACACATTTTATCCATTTAGTGATAATTTCCTTCAGGGGGATCTCAGGTCTCCTGCAATGGATATTTCCTAGGTTAAGTCAATACTTTTGAAATATAAAACGCTGCCAGGATGTATGGTTAAATCCTGGGATGTTTTTAAGTGTAACATGACTCAACGTAAAATTAGAATGTTTTGGTATTATGGTCATGGTCTAGAAAACACGGAAATATTGCAAGGTCTGCGTCACCTGTGGGAATACTATATATAAGGCTCTGAACACGAGGTGAATTGCCATTAGATCACTCGTACGTTCACCAGTTACTAGAAGATTTAACAATCAGCAAGGAACGTTATAATGGTTGTTGCAATGCAGCAGAAATCTGTGCAGTGTATTGTGGTTGGTGATGGTTTTGTTGGCAAATCAAGTCTGATTCAGAAATTTGTCAATGGACAATTTAATCAAGAATATGTCGCTACTCTTAAGGACGATTACAACACGAAATTGTCCGCTAATGGGGATACCTATCGTTTGAACGTTTCTGATATTGCTGGAGAGGTAAGCTGAGCAAAGAATTTTATATCTATTTATGGCTAATAATAATACTCATCTTTATTTCGTATTTTATCCAAACCTCGATCTGAATGTAAATTCATAAGTTTTTTTTCTATATTACAGCATGAAGACTTATCTTCTCTAACAACTCCAGATACCTACATTGTTTGCTTCAGCCTCGTTGATGATGACTCTATGGATAGTGTGCTGAATTTCTGGGTTCCAAAAATCAAAGCACTTGGAAAGCACGTCCCAGTAGTCCTTGTTGGTACACAAGAAGACTTACGAAAGAATGGACATTCAGGGCACATTTCTACCACTGAAGGCCTCACTCTGGCCAGGACAATTGGCGCCGATGTTTACGTGGAATGCTCCGCAAAATCGGGAACTGGCGTGCAGGAAATTTTTCACAGTGCCGTAATGGCGAGTATCAGACAAAGCAAGAGAAAAGTTAACATTCTCAAACGAGTTCTGGGTCGCTGAAGTGATGACTTTCATTGACTTGTGATAAAGTGGTTCGTGCACCACTCAAGAATTATCTCTTCATACGAACGTCAAGCTTTCCAAAATCAAGGAAATCGTCTACGTTCGAGGCCCTGGAAGAAAAGGTCTGCTTCGCGTCTCTCTAGATGCTCCCTTTTCCGTTTGAAGATTTGTGCTGACGCCAGTAAAGACTGTTACAGTAAAATCTAGAGACTAAGCCATAAAAACGTTACAACAGTGATTGTAATTGAATGAAATGGCATTCAATAATGCTTTAATGCTTGCTCTATTTTGTTCATACAGCTTATGCTTGCTATTGAATAAAACTGTAAAATGAGCAAGAGTTGTAGATCTTTGTTCTCCAAAATCCTACTACTGACAACATTATTAGTTGTCAAAGATATGAAAAATCAAGACATGGGTTAAAGGAAACAAATCAACTAGCAAAGTAATTTTAAAACAATGATGACATCATTATATTTTTTTAAATTTAGAAAACTTGCATAATAAAATGGCTCTTAAATTAAAATAGGTGACAATTAGCATGCGATTTTCATTGTCAAAAATAGAAACAGGCGTCATTTGTTAACATATGGAAAGAACAGAAAAAGGAACTATATTTAGTGTCATAGAGACACAATCATTATGCAGACTTACAATATGCAAAAGTTAAAAATAGATCTTACATCTGTACACTCATCATAACTGAAACTAATATAACGTAATGGAAACTTCGAAGAAAGCACATGATAATTAATAATGATATTTTTAACTTTTTACCCAAACAACTTTGGAAAATTGAAAAAAAAAAAATTATAAACAGAAAATTATGTTCTCAAGATACATTGTATATGTAATACCTGTATTATTGGTATTCTAATTTTCAATTCATTGAACACGATTTTCTCAGCATTCTCCATTTAAATTTCTTATAAATGAGAAAATATTGTTAGATGTTTAGTTAACGAACAGTAATCATGCTTACCACAATTGGGATCAGGGCATTAACGGACCTCTGATAATATCGATCGTGGGATAAGGTACCAAAGAGGAATAAGCGTCCCCTATCGGAATTGTTTGCCATGTCATAATAGAGTATAGGAGAAATTCATAGTCAATTTAGAATTCAAAAAAATGGCCTTACATTTTTAGAAATAAAGATATATGTCAACATTAACAGCAAACTCTTGGACTTCGAAAGTGTGAATACCTTTTATCATCAACTTCTATGTAGTCTGCTTCGTTTATATAGAAACCTTTAAAATTATTTTGTCGCAAATTTATACCTTTTGATGCTGTTAATTTTGGTAATTTTGTAGGTTTCTAATTTTGTAAAAGCTCTTGGACTTCTGAAGTGTATATCCACATTTGATGAACACCTCCTATCAAATAATATTAAAGATATTGCGATAAAGTTTAAAATATCGCAATAACCAACCAAAATTCTAATATAATGTGCAAATCCTTTAGAAGGAAGAGTAGGACTACAGAAATACTTCTCAGAGTAAGTGCAAATCTTTTAAAAGGAAAGCAATACTACAGGAAAGCCGTCAATTATACCGTTTAATTCCTGAATTCTTCATCAAATTTATAATGCATATCAAAATTGAATTGAAAATCAATAAATCTTAAACTCGACTTCAATTTCTGTTTCTATTTATCTTTTTACTGGATGAAAGCATCAAGGATGTATAAAAAATGTTCTAAAATAATCGAAATCGTGTCCTTAATAAATAGCATATTAAGAGACAAATTTGAATCGATATTTGAAATGCAAAAATGTTTTAATGATCAAAGAAATTGGAGCTGTCCAGAGAACTTTTCAAGGAAGCTTTGCTTCATCAATATTTTTTAGAAAAAAATATTCCCGCCAGATTGTCTGGATTATGTTGATATAAAACATACTCTTGACAAAAATGATTGTTAAAGTGATTATAAATGCAAATGAAATATGTTCAATCGTCAACCCTATATTAATACAAGTAAAGGTCATCTTATATCTGTCAGAAATCCGAATTAATAAGTCCACAACAATTTATTTCCTTTCTCGTACATCACGTGAAAAATTCGCATGCTTTTGATATACAATTTCAATCTTAAAAATAAAATTCAGTTATCATTATTTATGGCTGTTAAAATGAATAAGCATTTCAACGTTTGTGGCGCGAGTTCTGTCTGATATGTGACATATATTTTATATGTCTCAAAAGATATTTAATATATAAAGAAACATATAAAGATATTTGACAGATCATATAACAACTCATGTCTGCAGTCATAAGCTTTAGAAATTTTTAAGGATCATCTGTTCTAGGAAATAAACCACGTAAATGAAAACAACAGCGCTTTTCTGTTAAAATAAGTGCTTCTTTAGTTTTGTAGGAATTTAAGCTGAAAATAGATATATCAATATATAATTAAAAATGTTGCACTATAATTGCATACTTTGGAATAAAGTAGGAGGATATGTTTCTTTGGGATATGGATAACCTTTAGTAATATTCTTTGCACAATAACCTATTTAACTTTACTTCACGTGATACTCTTACAAATAACTTTTCTCCCTCTGGATACACTTTTCATTGAAATGGTAACTGCAATAATCTTTGATCATATAAGAAAAAAAAACTATTATTATCGAAGTTTGAAATGTTTTGAGTAAGATCCTTTTATATTTATTATTTTCTCCGGTTTTATTACAGATAAGCCATTTAACCTTTTAAACTTCTTTGTTGATATAAAAAAAGTGAATTTAGTGCTGTGCCCTTTAAGAAAGTTCATGCTTTAATTGCCCCTATCGTTTTCAGATCTCTCTACTAAAATTATGTAATAAATGGTTACAAAATCATCTCTAGCTTGTCAAATACTTTATCATAAAAAGTCCAGTTGAAAGCATTGATGACTTCAGTTGATTAAGAAATAGCAAAATTAAAAAAAAAAATTAAGTATCCCACACCGTACACTTATAAATCCGTTCGCTTTTAATAACTCTATAAGCGTCTTGCAATTTATTTTTAGCATCCAGGCTTCCATTAAAAATGATAATGTTTATAATTATTGTTTAATTAAAAAGACCCGTTTGTATCTAGAGAAATAAATATTAGGACACATTGTCAGCACTTTGAAGATAAAGCAATACATTTGTCCTCATGTGAAAACCTTGCACGTTTTTATAATATAAAGGAATATTTAATTAGTTATATTTGGAAGATTAATCTGCAATAATAATATTTTGAGGAACCTAGTGCACATGATAAATACCGCGAAAAGAGCCAATTTGCCGAAACATACAGATGTACGTCTTTAAAAAAAACTTTCTAGCAGCTGTTCAAATATTCATGTAGTTTTACAGTTGAGGTAATGAAACATATGGAGAGAAAAAGTAAAAAAGGAAAAGAGCCTAAAAATAGTACGTTATCAACAATTATGCTTTTTGAAATCAATTTTTGAAACATGAAGTATGCCTGAAAAGTATGTTGAAGATGTTTTTGAAGATGATAAATATTTGTTTTTGTTTGTTTTGAAAACGTTCTCTCAAAAATGATTAAAATTCTACTCGTATTGAGATGCTTCCACTTGCCGGTGGAGGGCTGCAAATTTAGACCTGTACTCGGCATTATCGGTCTTGTGCAATGACGAATCAGGCCCCAGGATCAAGAAACAGAGTAAGACGTAAGTCATCAAATTTTGAATTGCCTGCATGTATAATGTTTATTAATTTTTGAATACATCTCTAAATTTGCAAATAACAACACTTTGGAAAACGATGTGGTGAAATATTTTTTAAAAATGCTTGACTTCTACTACATCTAAATAAAACATGAAGATTTTGACTTATACTTAAGACGTTTCATGATCCCAGGCCAGGAATCTGTGGCATGAACTCTCGGTTTATAACTTCTCATGGTCTCCACGTCTCATTTCCTCACTCTGCGACTGTAGAGAAAACGCTCTAAGTTAGTTACATTTGTAGAAATAAATGGAGAGATGTAGCATAAAGTTACCTTTGCTTATGTTCGGTCAACAACATAACAACAATAATTTGATGGTTTGAAATTTTATCTGTCCAAAATCATTGATCTGAAAATTTCATTTTAGTTGGAAATAGGTTGAAAATTGTTGCATGCAGTTACCTTTGCTTTTTTTCGCCCAACAATATAACTATATATAATGTATAAGAATTTGATGGTTTTAAATATCATTTGTTCAATATCATTGCTCTAAATTTTTCATTTAATTGTAGGTTGAAAATTGTTGCATGCAGTTATCTTTGCTTGTGTTCGGACAACGACATATCAATAATGATTTAATGGTTTTAAATTTTATCTGTTACTCTCGCCACCTGGGTAGTTAATGCTTCTACATGCCACATATTGCTTAATCCTTTAAATTCTTTCTGCGTCGTAAACAAGTTAAGTAAGGGAACACCATTCCTAAGAATAATCGTTCTCAAGCTGACAGTATCATGCAGCTTAGTGGTCATCTAAGGTAAAGGCCACAGATTAAGGTGTTACATAAATGACCGAGGTTAACACCCTGGAAATAAAAGTCAAAATCTTTCAGGGTATAAGCAGTATTCTGTCATATGATGAACAAAATAACCAAGTTTTTATGGATATATCATTTCAATGAGTGTGGATGCCAAGCATTTTATATTTTGAACGGGAAAAACGCCACCTGAAAAAATGAAGATACGAGTGTTTGCAATTGGTATTTATTTTTAGACACAATTTTCCCATTAAAAAAAAGGATTTGCATCGACAGTTGTTTTTTCCATTTGCAAATTCTTATATTCGTAATTTACATTGAAAGGCATTGGCATTGAAGATTTAAATTTTTGGCATGCATGAAACACTATTTTTGAAAAAAAAATCGTATAGCTTGGAATAGCAGCGTAAGATTTTTTGAAATTTTGAAAATTCTTTAATTCTTAATTTACATTAAAAGGCCTTGACATCAAAAATCATGAATATTTCATACGATATCAATATAAATGCATACCAGTAGCTTATACTTTTTAGGACGGGCTTTTAGTCTAATTCGGTTTGTGTGCACAAAGTTTGGGTTTCTTGTGTAATATGTATCTACCTAGTATAAATTTTCATCCACATACAATGGCAAAAAAGTCCTTTAGAAACAGCATTCCTTCATTCATTCGAATTGTAAAGTAGTGACAGTGCATTTTTGCAAAAATAGTTGAGACATTGAAAGATTCTTGAAGTTCTTCGTGTAGTCTGCACTTTGTTCACACAATAGTATTTAAGCTGAGCATTAAAAAGTATTAGACCCTTCGACCTTTTTATCATTAAATTATCTTCAACGCAATAAGTATGTTTGATAGGTTTAAGCTGATTTAAGGATAACTATTCAAATTTGTGCATGAATAATCCCGTTATGAAACTTCTTCCTGGGAGATAGTTTTTATACTGTCATTCCCAGCAAAGTAACAAATATTGTTCTACATCAAAATATAAATGGGGATGGTTTGTTAAAATTTACGCAGAGCTACATGTTAATAATTCAGACATAATTTTAAATTGTTTGAAATGTCTTTGTCGTCATTTCCCATTAATTAATATTTTTTGTTCTATTTAATATCATGGATAGAAATTTGTACATATCATTGCTGATACGTTTAACAATATGTTGAACATTAAGCAATTCCACGCCTAAATAGACTATTTTGATACTCAGCACAATAACAATGAAAGGTATCAAATTAATCCACGATAACATTGACTTAAAGTTTATTTAATTCTTGAAGTATTTAATCCAGGTAAAATCAATCAACATATTTCATTGGGTTATTTTCATACTTAATAAGAACATGGCCTGCCATTTGCCATTTTCACAATTTGTTAACAAACTTGATCGATGATAGATTGTATGAAGTTAATGGTTTGAACAGTTGAACGAACTTCAATTATTAAATTACATTCTGAATGTATGAAAAGGATTTAATCTGAGGAATTCTCATCAATGTTACTATTTGTATATAAAGAATAAGAATTTTAATATTGACACTTCGAGATAACCTGTTATACAACATGATAACATGCGTGGACCGTTAAAAGTATTCAAGGTATGTTAATAAAATTCCAGACATTTTATTGAAGTTTTTTTTAAAGAAAATGCTGACGTCGATTTTTGGATTACAATGAATTAATTTACTTTAAAGGAGTAACTATAAATAAGCAAACAATAATAAAATTAATGAGAAAAAAAAATCATGTCTTCACATTATTATAAAAGTATACTTTTGCTGAAAATATACGTTTATCACTAAACAAAATTTAACAGATCATACCGTAGACGAAGATATTTTAATTGTTTTTATTTGATGATACAAAAACATTATCTTAATAATTTTAATCAAAACACAGATAATATTTACAAATTTATTTACAATGCTTAATGTTAATCAAACACATGAGTGTTTTCGTACAATATCTTCAGCGGAGGGGTATTTCTCTGTGGTTTACTGCACCTCTTCACTTGGATTGAGGCAGTTTCGTGGCTGAACATCTCCCTGGACCGCTGGCGTTTGAGACCTGTATTTCCTTATGCGACAGTTTGGAAGCCTAGTCTTTCTATTGACAGCTTATTTGGAGATAGCCGCAGAAAGGGCGTCGACGGGGGAATTGGACATCCTCCTGGGAACTTCGGAAGTCCCTCTTAGATTCTCGTCATTTTATTCAGTAGTGACTCAAGGGCCACCTTGTCAAAGTGCTGGATATTTTCGTCAGCGTCCAAAGACACGTTTTATAATGTTTATCCTTTTCTTGCTATGGCGAATTTTTGCACACACTATTTTCTCAAAAACCTCTTGAATTCCAAGGTTCATTTTTGCGGAACATTCTACGTAGCTCTCTGTTCCCAGAGTTTTGCTAATTTTTTGTCCATTTTCAGTAGAAATATGTCCATTCTCATTTTCCTTTCGCAGATCGGATTGAGTAGCCACAAGCACTAAGGGAATGTGTTTCCCCAAGGATCGAACTTTTGGAAGCCAGAAATTTTCAATACTGTCCATGGAGTCTTTATCAACCAAACTAAAGCAGACGACAAATACATCAGGTGTGGGAAGAGACGACAGGTCTTCATGCTGATGAAATAAAAGATGACAAATAAATAATTTTAATCATATGTCATTGAAAAATATACATTAAGCAAGAATATGCTTCATTTAATTCTTAAAAACAATTATAGTTTAAGACTACCCTCACCTCTCCTGCAATATCAGTGACATGCAGATCATAAACGTCTCCATTTGCATACACTTTACTGGAGTATTCATCCTTAATAGTAGCGACGTATTCAGAGCTGAATTGTCCACCAATAAATTTCTTAATCACACTTGACTTTCCAACAAAACCATCACCGACGACAGTGCAACGCACAACTTTCTCTGAAGCATGTACCATTTTGCGTTTCGGTAGCAGAAGCAACAGTATATCAAACAGATATATGAGCGGAATTCAGTTTAAGTGTAAGGCGTTTGGGAGTTTCCAGTTAAATGGTGGTGAGATAATTCTTCGTCTCCTTTTTATAGCAGCCGTGACGCAGGCACCGTACGATTACAGTTCAAAAGATCCGATTTAGTCACAGTCTTTTAATACATGGACGAAAGGACATTGTCAGATTATTAAAGCACTGAGTCCATCGGCTTGACCCTTTGAATTTTATTTGGAGTAGAATACACCTTTTTATATGTTTGCATATCCTTTCAAAATATTTTAACAGCAAAGGAGAAATTATTACTTTCCTCTGTTATTATTACCCATTGTCTGGAAAATATATGTGTCAAAAGGGTCAATATTTCTATGGACATTTATTTTAGTTCTTATTTAAATCTTAAATATGAATCATAAAAATAACTTTTTATGCTCACAATTCAACAAGATCTTTCATATCTTATTTAAATCGGTATTAACTTATGAAATTATAAGTTAATAATTCATAATATAATGGAAACTAAGCATGAAAACAAAATATTGTCATGGGGAGCAGACATTAAAAAGTTGCCATGTTGCAAACAGTGTCAGTGTGTGTCTAAGCATTGTTAAGTAAATGTTTATTCTTAAAACTTCGTCTGGCGTTACTTGATGAAGTTGCCAAACAATCATCCAATTTTAGATTGTACATTTCTTTGTTCTACGTATGATATGTCAATCAACCTTTGACTTATTAATAGAGTGAAAAGTAAAGATAAATAATGCAATACCCCGATAGAAATATTTTAAAAAGAATATATGGCAATAAAAGAAACGTTGATCTGATTTTATCTTAACATAATCACATGTCAACTGTACGTATTAATATAAAACAGTATAAAAGAATACTGAATGACCGAGGTTGGGTTTGAGTTCATTCGTTATTTGTTCTCTCGTGTATCTGCCCTGTACTCTATATGTAACTGATAGTTTGTTGTTTATTCAAATTAATAAAGAAGATTGCTTTCGTAGAGGTTCCCTGCAGTAAATGTACCAGCATGCACCTTGTGTCACAAAGTAAGAATGAAGTTTTCTCTATGATATTCTTTGTCAGGCAAAATCACTTCTTTACGTACTAGAGTATTTCTTTTATACTTTTATTCAAATTGATAATTTTATAGAAGCAATATTATCATGTTTATTCAGTCAAAGAATCGATTGCATTACAAATCATAATACAAATTACATTAATGAAATCAATTTGGAATCGGTTAAGAGTTTTAATAACCCTAGATGTGCAATATCGAAATAATACTATTTCATTTGCATGTATGGATTTTAAGAATAAAGCATTTCTTTTAAAATACTATTAGATTATCAAAATTGATGAACTATAATTTAAAGATTCATTCCTTATTTTTTATTTGACTCTTCAATGAAATGAAGAACAAGAACTTATACTATAGCAGACCATTGGTTCTGAATTTCTTTACGTCTATATTTCTAAGACTAAAGTCATCAAAGTTAGGTGTGGGGCAGGGTTTAACCACATCATTTCAATAATAAAGGTTGTTTGACGATGCTCCATATTCTTTTTTAATTTGCTCCTTACCTTCAAGACTTATCTTCTTTTCTCTTGTCATCATGATAATGGAGCTACATTATTCCAAAGATCTTGACAAATGATGGATATTATTATTTCATTACCATCAGCATATAATTTTATTATTGATGATGTAGAATTAGATATCAATGACGTAAATCACCAAGGATGTTATAATATCATACATCTGTAATTCTATTCTAGGAGAAGAATATGTCTAACAGTCTACTCCAAATGTACATTGTAATGTAAATTCAGTGGCTTAACGACATTGAAATATACGTCAAACTTTCTTATGCTGAATAATTGCTCCTTTCAAAGGAAAGGGCTGTCCTATATTTTATGTACTGTATATGTTATCTTGTAAATCATTTATTCAATGTATTTTTTATAAAATGTTTGGTTTCCTTTTATTCAACCTTTTATTCAAAAATATCTTTTTATCATTGGTGTGGCTGCTTATATTTTTTTTAATTTAGTTGAGAAAAAAGCTCAGAATTTAAACGTGTATAACCACAGGGCCTCGTTTTGGACAGCATTTAAGCATTGATAATTATGGATTCTTCACAAATTTTAAATGAAAAATGTTGTACTTTATATTTTCAAATGATTTTTTATAACAGTTCATGTTGAAAAATCGACAGTTTCAAGATATATGACGGTACAAAAAAACGAGGAATGCTGTAAAACAATTTACCTCTACCTGTACGCTGTACTCTGTTTTTGCTTTGACCCTATTAAACCCAAAGCTATCAAAGTTCACAGTGCCCGATTGACAGGTAAATAATTCAATCACACATACATCAATGACACTGCACTGATACACCTATCAATATTTTGTTAAATATTTGCCAGTTTTTGTGTGCAATATGAGATTGTCAATAATCTTCCATGTATGTTTTGACACCAAAATAAGGCACCTCAGTACAAATATTTATTGTATTGCTATATTACCTTGCTTCCTTTTATTTTAGTTTCCAATTCAAATCATATACAGTATAAATGTCCAGTTCATTCTAAAACATAATATATAAATTATTATATATATGAGATTGAAACATACTAGGTTAAATAACAAAAAGTCAAAATAGAGACAAAAAACTTTCAAAATAAAAAAAAATGTAAAATGAATACAACTAAGATACAACATTGCATAATTATATATATATATATATTTCGATAACATCAAAACAAAGTTGCAATAGTTTACAATGCGATTGGTAAATTTAGCTATTCACAATTTAGCTTCTGTAACTAGAAATGACAATTATATGATACAAAGCTCATTTATACAAAAGTAAAATAAGCTTAACATCTCTATATAAGCGTTATATATAAAGAATTGTTCTGCCCTTTTTACGTGCATTTCGCTATCTCAACTAAATTTTTACACTTAACTGTCCACTTTCGATTAGATCTTTTGAATCATTATTTTAAAAGTTTTCTATTCGGCTCTTTTCTTTTTCAGATTTTATTATTTTTTAAACCCATCATTGGTTTGATGGTAAACATAAACTGAAACGTTCCACATTCCATCTGTATTTAATTACGGACAGTTGAACTTTATGAAATCTTTTTCATTCAATGCATTTATTTGCAAGAATGCATTCCTGAATGTTTCTAGATACGTACAACATATCAGTGTATCCTTTTGTTGTAACAACCTCTTAAAGTACAGACATCTTTGAAGTACAGACAGCATGAACGGAAACAACAAAAGATGTATCAAATTTACAATCCATCGTCTACGACACTGCGGCTACATAGAGGGACATAGGGCACCAGAGATGCTACAAGACGCACAAAGAAGGTATTTATTTTCATGAAACATTTTTTTGCACAAGTATACCTAGAGATAAAAGGAATCTGAGCAGGTGCCAACTGTCCTTTTGTGTTTAGTTTCCAACCAGTCAAGGAACTTTGTAGTGCCATCTCATTGAAATATAATTTGTTGTTTCTCAATATTTAACGTTTCTGTCAATACATCAAATGAAGTTGTCAAAATAACATGAAAGACATAATTGTTTCATACCTTTTGTAGAAAAGAACAAAGCAAATACTGTTGAGCAGGGAAATGGGAAATGGCAAGTGCAGAGCCAAACCACATTGTAAACTGCTAATTAAAACAATAAAAAAACTTTTTAAAAATCAGTACTTTTTTTTGGATTGAAAAACCAAATAATAAAATTTAATGTATTTTATGTTTCAACAGTCTCGATATAGATGTATCTACAAAAGATGTAGTACATAGCAAGCACCTGGTGACATCATTATTCCCTTTGAATCAAAGGGACTTTTAAATTCTGAACCTAAGGAAATTATTCTACTAAAGGGATTTCCTGAGATTTGTTGGATTCCATACATAATCGCTTACTCCGCTAGGACAATCATGATTCGACGTTTTCTCTGCCACTGCTTTTTCTTGGCCTGTCTTATCTTAATTGAAAATGTAAATTTACTAATACCGAACTTCTTGAACCTATGAAATATCTTAATTTAAGAATTCTTGAGTTGACAATCGTTACATAATGTTGTGATAGAAATGGCAAAAATTGAAGTAAAATGACGTCAACCTTATCCTAAATATTCTTACATTTAAATCAAATGGATTACATTGATAAATAGTTCAACATTAATCAATAAAAATGTAGATTTTTAAAATTATTCACACTCATTTCATCAACTGAAGACACATTTTAAGTTTAAGATGTTCATCAAGTCCTTTCTAAAAAGACTTAAATCTCACATGGTCTTAAAGTGAAAAGTAAAACAATGACCTTTTTAGATAGTTCATCCAGTACGATACAAAAACAACGTCATAATGATCTAACTTCATTTTAACATTTCAGATGACCCTAAAACAAAAATCTAACCGTAAACTTGACATTCCGTTTTATTTACAATTAACATTTTAGATTTCATTTTTACATTTAGTCCTTGATTTTAGAACCTTTTTAAGTTTAAAAGAATGCCTTTTGTTTTTCAAAAGGGTAAAAAAAATGTCAAAGTCACCAAATGTATATATGTTGGGAGTTAGCTGTTACCAAAATTTGTAAATTTCCAAATTAGCTAAAGATATCAAATAAACGTAAAAAAGAAGCAATTTAGAGAAAGGTACAGTTTTTGTTACATATGTTTTAATCAAATCGATTCGATAGATCTACTTATAACAGATTATTTTTATGTGTTTTAAATTTTCATAATTTTTTGTCTTTAGAATTTTACAACCGAAATTAGCATAATACACATGTTTTAAGAAAATATCATCAAGAAACAAACGATAATTGATATCATGATTTACAAAACAAAAGAAGCATTAAAATAATTAAAATTAAAGTTGTTGAAGCCGCATTTTAAAATAGATAGCACTGTCAAATTACATATATGACAATAAGTGAACTCTTTGGTAATAGAAATGACCAATTTCGTGTGGGAAACGTTAA